GTTTCGGTGCAGTGTTACTTCAATGCTCAGATGATGGATAGCTGCATCCCATCTATTCCATGAGTAAGAAAACATCACCCCAACAAGAAAAAAATGTCAAGTCATGAACTCGAAGTGCTAGCGATCATCTTGAAAAAATTTCAAAGTTATCTCTTAGGGAGAAAATGAAAATAATGTCCAACTGCGAAGCATTCCAGAAAACAATGCAGAAAAAAGAAGATCTGTTGCCAAAAATAGCTAGATGGGCATACTACTCGAAGAGTTCGAATAGGAAGTTATCCACAGACCCAATCAACAGATGAGACACGCTGACGCATTAAGCAGGCATGCTGTGTGCACAGTCACTTATTCGCAATGTGAAATCACCACTAAGATTACAATAGCACAAGAGACTGATGAGCGTCTTCAGTTATTAAAAACTCTGGTCGAGAAAGGACTCAGAAATGACTACCTGCCAAAAGATAATGTGTTGTATCTGCAAGAGGGAAGTCAAGAACTCATCGTTGTGCCAGAAGCGATAGACTTAGAAATTATTCGTAGCATACATAACAACAGACACTTTTGCTGTACAGAAGACAGAAGATATATTGAAAAGAGATTTTCATATTTCGAATGCTAAAAAGAAAATAGAGGAAGTTATAACTGTGTCGTGTGCCTCCTCCGTAATAAAAAGTAAATGCATCTTCACTTGGTAAGAAAGAACAAGAGAAGCGGTGTAGCGGAATGCTCATGAAGGAGCTGCAACAAGATGCTTACTTGTCGTGCGTAGGTGATCAGAGCTGGACTTATCCAAAGTGACCGCACATAGGTGGTCAGCTGTATCATGTACCTGTCTATACTGGAAGTGATATGATTCCTGTCCTAAACATAATCAATTCATCTGTATATACTCATTCTGTTTATCTTTATTTCTGTCGAACCAAGAAATAGTTGCTGTCTTGATATACCAGTGTGCTGATCCATGTTTTTGAGGTTGAAAACAGAGTCAGGATTGCCGAGCTGTGGTATCAGTTAGTTCAACACAGCCACCAGAGGGCATCACCTATGCGCTTGCAGGGAGAGCGAGACGAAAGACGTTGATGTCAAATGTTGTTTCCACTCAAAGGTGGTAACAAAAGAACTCTGTTAAAATAGCGAGCGCGAGTAAACGCTGAGTAGCTATTTAAATACTTTAAGGCATGCAGAACTGTATATGTATCTAACCAGTGCGAGAACAAGCAATGGTACTGTTATTTAATTTAAATCTGTAGCTTTTCTATTATTATTCATTAAATGTCTGCGGTGTGGAAGCGTCATTTACCTAAGGATATCATCTTCAACTCCCCACCCGCATTAATGAAGAGAAATTTGTATAAATGCAATCTATAACTCTAAGATAAAAGTAAGTAAAAGGGGGCAATGTAGGGTGACTGTCCAGGGCACTGAATGCAGAAATGTCCCATACTAATAATCAAGATGTTATGATCTCATCAATTATCATCTTTTGAGAAACGTTCTGTCTTGATTTCGTTACTTTTGATTTTTAGAGTAAGGCCTCAAACATATTACTGTTGGCCCTGGATTTAGATTTGCTAACTTTACTAAAGCATGCGATATCTATCTTCCAAGATAGAGATATTCCACTTCCGCCAAACTTTCAAGCAAGAAAAACTTGCTCGCATTTAGTTTACAAATAGAAAAAAATCATAAAAACTCCATGCAGCTGATCTATTCCGTCACTGAAAACAGAAGCCAGCAACTAGTTTTCCCACTTTGATTTTGGAACTAGATATATAATTACAAAGATCTCCATTGGAGGAGATCATAATTCATTATTCTTTTTCCACAGATGTAAAACCTGGTTAAATACGTTTCCTTGTTTATAAACTGGAGAAGATTTTTTTAATAATTCCTGATATTTTAAAGGAAAATTTTCATGTATTTTACCCCTGTAGAAGGTCTAAATAATTGTTCATAAAACCACACTAATTTTAACAATCTGAAAATGACACAAATGATGTGAACTCTTTCATAATTATATTAATCATTAGCATTAAAAAAAAAAACCCTTAAGTTGGGTTTAAGATTGCCTCAGAATTCATTTTTTTTTAATTTCCTAATTCAGATGTCATACAGTCTGGTAATAGTTATTTTTCCTATTACGGCCATATCAGTGGCCAATAAGGCCGCTAAATACTGGTAGTTCGACTTAGATTCAAATCCATGGAAAAATACAATGCAGCCGTCGCATTCGTTCATCTGGGTTCATCCTTATACATGAATATGAGTCATTTCTCTTTAGAAAGTCCTCCACGAAGGCACCTCTCTCCTAAAAGCAGATAGTCCACGTTTGTTTTGCTGTATTAAAATAATCCTAATCCTTAAACTACGGCACCAGTCACACTAAATAAAGATGAAAGGTTTCTAAACAAAATTTTTAATTGGTCTGCGGGCCCCAGTGACCAAACGGTAAAACTGCTGAGCACTTATAATTCCACATGGGTTCAAATCCTAGTGAATGCGCTTGTTCCATTAAAGTTTTCTTGGGTTTTTCTACGTTCAACGTGAATGAGATGTAGTTTCGAATCAGGAAGTCCTGCATGATAGTTTCCGTCCTCTTGCGCAGATTCGAAATCCGTTAAATATTTCTGCATTGAATACAATTATAATTATTTCTTTTTAAAGAAAATATTAGGGGGAAAATTTGTAAACATAAAATTGAGTGCGATTACAAATATTTTTAAGTAATTAACAATTTGAGCGGGGAAAACTTTTTTGTTACGCTAAATTTTTGAAAAATCATTTGATGACTTTACAGAAACTACACAGAAAACTAAGAGATAATCCAAAAGAAAACTGGAAGATGATTTACAAGAAAATTCTAATGAACCTCTTAAAAGGCGGAATGCATTGATAAAAAAATAAAAAAATTACAATAACCAGAAAAACTCATATTTCAGAATTTGAAACTTTATTCATCTAATGCCCAAAAGCTGCATGTAATGTGTTCATATTCTTTATCAATACTTGTATTTTTAATCTTTTTGTAAATTTTTTTAAACTATAAAATTTAATTTACAGCATATGAAAACCATTTATTTTCAGCAATTCAATTTTGAATTTTGCTCTCCTAGGATGGATACAGTAAAATTCCAGATTTATAAACAATACTATCTATTCTTAGATTTTTTAACAGAATTTGATTCCATTCACTTTATATTCAACTTGAATCATACTACATGTTAGTTTTTTAAAAATGGCTTTGTTTAAAAAGGTCTTATTTCCCCACAGTGTTAAACTAATTTTTTATTCAATATTAAAAATATTTACCAGTTACTTTTTTTAAATTACCAAGGCCATTATTTACTTTCTTTAATTAACATAGCATAATTTTTAAATAAACAATTTTTGGTCCTAATTAAACCATTTTTTTAAACCATAATAAAAACCAGTGCACATAATATGCCATTTTCTTATTAAAAAAATCGTTTTTAACAAAGATGCAAATAAAAATTTGGATTTGGAAATTAATAAATTTGACCATTTATAATACCAGAAAATACCATAATCCATTAGAAAATATAACACACTGTGGCAAATTTAATCCCTAAATTGGACTAAAATAATATCAAATGACTTTGCGTGTATGTTTGTGCGCTCGTTATTGTATTACATTTAGAGAAATAATGATCCATTCAGTATGCCAAGTGTATTATTTAGTCCCTTCCTGTAAAATCTAAACATTTGCTTGGCCATTTGCTGATTTGCTACTTTTACTCGATAATTTATTTTGTAGAAAATATACAATTAATTATTTTGTAGTATTCCTGTAATACACAGTTACTTGAATTTGTAGTATTCCTTAACTGTAAAATTGAAACTTTGAACATTTCCAAGTATTACATTGAACAACTTTGAAATAATAACTCAGTATTCCAAAATACATTGTAATCTCAACTTTCAGAGAAATATAACTACATAAAATAACAAAAAGAAGCAAATTTTAAAGAATTTACTATTGTATTTTTTTTTAAAAAGTGTGTTTTTAAATGTACCACATATTTTGCTTCATAAGAATTTAAGAAAAAAGCAGAAAATAAAAATGGTTCAAAATATGTACAACATGACAGTCCATGAAACAAAAGTTGATTATTTGACTAAATTTTAATAATAATAAAACTTCCCAATTTTAAATAGAAAAGGTGCACTATGTTTTTAGTTTAGAAGAATAAGTAAAAAATATATTTCATTTTTTAAATATTAATAATAGATTCATTTCACAGTATTATTAAAAAAATTAAGAATAAAAATATTTTGAAAAAACTCAAGCGCTCTTAGCATGCAGTGTGGTCATTCAGTTCCTAGTTTTACCTCTGAATATTTTTGTCAGCTGGTATCATTGTGTACATGTACAAATCGGTCAAAATCCCCTCTTTAAATCCATATTTCATTGGCACGTTTTTAATGATATGAAACCTCTGCCTGCACATACATAAGTTCATATGTTACACAGACTTAACAGGAATTGCAAATACTCTGTGCTTCTTGAAAAAGAAAAAAACTTTGAAATACAAATCTTTAGCAGATGTCTAGCATTGAATATATTCACACTGAATATGGATACATATAAGTCATCTGCAAAAATTTAAACCACTAAAATATTCTGCAATACTTTGAAATTAAAAATAATGAGATTGCCCTTGCCATTTAATAAAAACAAACTTTCATCATTTAAATAAAATAAAAAGAAATATACAAAGCATTGCAATCTAAATAAAGTGTTATCAGAATCATTAGGCTATATTTTTATGTTGATAAGAATGTAGAGATGGAACCAAATTAAAAAAATTCTCTATAGAAATACATAATACATGATATTAGAAAATCATTTCATTAATAAAACTTGTGTCAAAAATGTATCAAAATATTAAAAAAATAGTACATGGTGTTTTCAGCAATCTTAGCGATCATGAAATTTCTTTATTACCATCTAACGAATTACTCTTGCAGTCTTAACTTACCTTGAACCAACACCTGAATTTGAAGCTAAATTTGTGTTTTCACAAATGTGTTGATGTATCTGTTTCAAAATACTTTCAAGTTTATTTAGGTTTCCAACTGGTTCAGGAGCCACATCACCAGATCTCTCTGCAAGGGGTAAAAAACACCTAATTTAATATTTTGTAATTTGTCTTTTGTTATTAATTTCAATACATAGTTTCAAAGATATTTTTCAAAAATATTTTGTTTTATACTTTCCTTTGGGAGCTCCAGCATCGGAAATTCTATTTGACATAATCGAAAGTTCAAGCTTACTTTTATAAAATTGCTCTTACAGTCTGCAAAAAATAATAAGCCGGATCCAATTCGAAGATTAAGGAACAACGCGATCATCAACATTAACTGAAATAGATAATTAGATAATTTTAGCTTATACCGTCCGTTATACATTAAACGTGCACGCGAGAACGTATTCTGCGCTTGCGCAGACGCATATGCGGAGTCGTAAATGTCTTGCGCACATGCGTCATAGCAGCGCATGCGCAGAAAGATTTTAGCTTTGAGGTCCGGATTATAGATCATTCCGGATTATGGGTGTCCAAATTAACGACTTTTGACTGTATATATATATATAGAGAGAGAGAGAGAGGGATAGATAGATATATGTACCAAAATTCACGTTGTATATCCTAATAAATTATAATAAGAGCAACGTTTTCTGTATGAGAAAGAAAAGAATAGTGACTATATGCTACATTAGAATATTTGGCAATCATGTAGCATGCGAGCTACTGCTCTTAATTAACAATATATTTTTTTGATGAAGACACTATTCTTTTGTTGTTTTTTGTTATAATCACTTCTCTTTCCCGCAATTTTATCACACATTCAAATTTAGTTGAAAAGGAAAAATACAATAATATTGTACCCTTATTTTAAGATATAGGTAATAAATATATAAGTATGCTAACGATCAGGTATTGGATGACCTTAATAAACTACATAGTAGTGAAGCCTATATGTCATATGTCTTCAACAAACTATTATGGCTGAGCTTCTTTAATAGAGAGATAAATTGATGATGTAGTAATTATAGCCTTTCTGCAATGCAGTAAATTATGTTCGATGCTACATTTTTTATTTAAACCCAATATATTTTCAGCTATGTATGTAATTTATGGGTAATTGTATAGCACATTCAGTTTTTCATTTTCATAGCAATACTCACTACATCAAATGAGATACTTAAAAACTTATTACTGTCTGGTAACATAGCATTTGCATTAAATGATTATATGCAACTGTTCGATATTATAAATTATATAAGTATGTTTCAGATAAGCTTGGACAATACAATCAAAAGTCTTTAATCCGGACTCGTCGGGACTTCGGCGATTTTGGATTATCAGTTTGTACGGATTATAGATCATCAATTTAAATCTGGTAAGATGGCATGCAGAAATTATAAAATTAAAAATATGAAACCGTAATTTATGAAATAAAGAGCAATTATGATCTAAAGGGTATCAAAATTTACAAAAAAAAAAGCTTAATATTTATTTGTTTACTTTATTAAACATTTATTTCAACGCGCGCATGCGTAAAGCATACATTACGTATAGTCGAAATTAGAAAACTGCAACCAGAAAACTATTTGATGTGTATTTGTGATATTTATAATGACGACGAATTTGATTTAAGTCATATCAAAGACGGAGTACATCGAGATAAAATACTACATTTAGTGAGGAATTATAAGCCGAACAAAATAAAAAACATCTGCCCTGAAGATAAGGATAGTGCTGACAAATCAACTTCCAGTTCATTGCCCTCCCCCAGATAAGCGTGAAATTGATAAACAGATTTCGGAATGGTTAGAGAAACAAAGGATATGCCTTTATCCATTTTTTTTTCAGCAATTCCACTTTTTGTTTGATGGACATCGAAACATGCTTTCGCTTTATAGATCCTTTGGCTGCTCCAGAATCGGAAATTCTTTTTGACATAATTGAAAGTTCAAGCTTACTTTTATAAAATTGCTCTAACAGTCTGCAAAAAATAATAAGTCGGATCCAATTCGAACATTAAGGAACAACGCAATCTGAAACATTAACTGAAATAGATAATTAGGTAATTTTAGCTTAGCTTATACCGTCCATTATACGTTAAACACGCATGCATAAACGCATATGTAAAAGTATTACGTGCATATGCGTTTATGCATGCGCAGAAAGTTTGTAGCTTTGAGGTCTGGATTAAAGACTTTTGACTGTATTTCTTTACCAGCATGCCCAATTCCCATTTCATAAAGAGGTTAGAATTTGTAACTTCAATCATTTAGCTAATTTGAACATCAATCATGAACCCATTTCATAAAGAGGTTAGAATTTTGAACTTTAATCATTTAGCTAATTTGAACGTCAATCATGAACCCATTTCATAAAGAGGTTAGAATTTTGAACTTGAAGAATCAATATGCCCTTTACTGAAAAAATTCTGCTTCAGTTTTCAGCGAGTAGTTTAATAAATCATCATCTACATCAAAAAATAGTGAAATGCAAACTAAAAAAACAGACTATTGTATTTTGAAATTGATTTAAGGAATATGCTAATCAGTCCAAAATTGATATTAAACACAACATATCTTGAAAACCTCTGTGAAATACACCAAGTATGATTTTCACATTAACAGACAGATGTTAATAAAATGATCATTAATCAATTATAATTATGAATTATTTGGTCAGAAAATCACAACTGCTGAATCAGAGTATTAATTAAAAAATATTGGGAACCACAAAGTAGACAATAATGTTCAATAATGTTCAATATGTCATAACAGATTAATGAATAATAATTATAATTTTGAATCTTTATCAGGGTTCATAGCCACATTTTGGTTAAAAAAATAAGCACCTAAAAGCACTTCTCAAGCACATTTTAAGAAAAAAATAAGCACCTGTCTAATTACATTATACATAACTGCATAACCTTAAAAATTAGACTCGTAATTTAAAATATTTAATGATGAAATTTCAGTTCAAAATAGAGGAAATAAATAATAATAAGGCATATTTATTCTATTCGCTTGGAACTTAATAATAAATACAATTTATTTTTCCACTTATATTGATATTTAACTAATTTAAATCTAAATTCTGAACATTTTCTAAATTTTCATTGTATATCAGTTTTCCCTTAACAGATATTGCAAGCAAAGTAATTTAAGTAAAAAAGAGGAACATTTCTGAAAGCAGAAGACAGAAATTTGCTTCATGCAGTCATCCTTTAACAGTAAACTTTAACTACCCGCATACTTAAAAATTGGCGAATATTCGAACTATCGAGCATAACTTGAAAAAAGGGAGCGGAGGGGGGGGGGGATAGACTGTAGTCGTTCTTTAGATTTTTCTGCTAAATAAATACTTTTGACATTTCGGTATGTGCATCATATAAAAACAAATCAATGGAACAGAAAAATATTCTGCTTGCAAGCACAGTAAAACTCATTTAAGTATTCATAAACAAATCTTGGACCGGACATCAAAATTAATTATCTCTGCAAAATATCTTGTGCAATAAATGCACCTTAATTCTTCCCTACATGATATTACGCAATCGGATTCAACAGCTGCCGGTATAAGGAGAATAAAGAACTAAATAAAGGTAAAGAAAGAGACTTACCAATCTGGGGTGTTTTTCATTTTAATTTTCAACAGACTGCATTAAATTTCCGGAATAGAATCATTCTTCTCTTGGGTTGGTAGACCGCAGAACTTTTAGTCCTATTCAATCCAGATTGGGAAATGACAATAAAAAAAAGGGGGGGAAATGCTTGTTTTGCAGTGAACTGTAACAGTTTCAATATTCGAGATTTTGCAGAGAAAGGGGAGAACCTTTCAACCTTCGTACTGTATAATGTATTGGCCAAAAAAATGAAATTATTTTGACTATTCGATTACTTTCCCTTTATTTAAGCCATTCCGAATATTATTCCTTAGAAAGCTAATCTGTGTTAAAAACACAAACCATTTTGGAAGTTTACTATACTTCAGGAGTTACTGCAACTATGTTATTATAAACATTCATACATATGCTCATAATATAAGCATAATGATCATAATAAACACGAATATGAACTGGCCAAGCGGAACGAGAATGCAAATTATTAAGATCTTGATAGAAATTCAAACGTGTGTAGTAGTGTAGTGTGGGTGGGAGGAAAAGAATGCCGAATGTACCGGAATTTTCTACTGCTTTCGCAATTCTTTGACCAACAGAATGACAGGCACCTGTCTGTACTCTTCCTGCACACCCAAGGTTATGTTAATGCAGAGAAAGGGGGAAAAGCTATTTCCGGGAGTATGATTCACCATCTGACATTCCATATCAGGAAGAAAAGTTGTTTATTTAGTTTCAGCTTTGGTACGGGGAAAAATTGTGTGTTCATTTAAAAAAAAAAGCACAAAAAGCAAAAAATAAGCACTAAAAAAAAAAAAGGTTTTAAATTAAAAGTAAGCACCTATAAGGGAATTTATATTTTATTTTCAAATATAAGGACTTATAAGCACTTATAAGGACCACTACGAACCCTGTTTATGACATAAGATCATAGCTATTAAGAGCCATTAGTTGAAAAAGTTAGAATTACTGAACTAGACTATAAAGTTCAGTAAATTAAGCCTAATAAATGTATAAATAAATGTATAAATAATGATTATAGTTCTCAATCACTGTGTCACAAGAACACAGCTGCTCATTTAAGACAGTCATCAGTCAAAAAAGTTGGGAATCACTGGAATAAATTAAGATATTCAGTAGGTCACGCATAACAGACATATGATGTAGTTCTGAAATATGATCATGACTGCTAGTCAAATAAAGTTGCTCATTAGTCAAATAAGGTTGGGAGTCACTGGGCTAGACATTGTATTCAATAAATTAAATATAATGGATGAATGAATAATAGCATATTACTTTGAATTGAAATTGCAATAGGGTTTTAAATCGAGAAAAGTACTAAAAAATAGTCATCTTAGAATCTAAAACAGAAAACTTGGATAAAAATAGCAAAAAATAGCTGCTTCAAAATTTAAGCTCAGTCGGATTAAAAAAGTTAGAAAATTGGAAAACTAATAGAAAATACTTAATATATTTACTTAAATTAAGAGTAATGTAAGAGTATAGTACACAATCTAATTTAGAGAGAATCTTCTTAAGATATGCTACCATTTTTGACGTCTTACTTCCCAAATGAGAATTCTCATCTTCATTATTACACCAGAGCACATTATTTTAAGAGCAATTTAAATGATTATTAATGCAACATTTAAAAAAAGGTAAATTTCTTTAGACATGTAAGATTGGCAGACCCATGATGTTAAAATATTATCTTTGAATTTAAGTTGCATCCAAATTATAAGTCTGAATAAAAAGTATGACTTAAAGTAATCTGGTAATTCTGAATTCAGTATGATAAGATCACAGATGCTCTTTTTCTCTATATACATACAAACATGCATCTTATACTTTTACACTAAATAAACATCAGATTTTTTTAATAAATTTCATTTTGATTTTCATGTTATTTTAGAGGTGGGGAACAGAAATACAAACTTGCGCAAAGATGCCTCATACCCATGTCACAAAAATAAATTCTCAACATATGTTGAGAAATATTAGGACTGAACAATTTTTATAACCTACCGCTGACACAAAATACACTTTTGAACTCACCTGTAAAACCTTCATTTTGCTTTTCTTTTGTTTGATTTGAATATACATGTTTGTCAGAATCTGTCTCCAACAAATGTACCTGAGTGGCTTTTGAAGCATTATCTATTATTATCGAAGCAGCTGTCAGTTTTTCCTCTGTCTGAATTTCTGTATGTATCTGAAGAGAAAAAAAAATAATATAAATAAATAAAATTTTAAAGAAGCATCTGACTGATTAGAAGAGAATATTTCATTATACAATTATTTAAATGCTATGAATAAATAAATAACTCAGAACTTCAATTATCCAAATTAATTACTTTAAAATAAATTTAAACTTCTTAATTTAATTACATGCTTTCAATAATAATAATATTTGTTGATTTAAATAAAAAAGTGCACAGCAGTGTCATATACTTTTTATGAAATTATTAAACTGATTATAATCAATCAGTATATAAGTAGACTAGCATGCAGTTTTATTACATGTAAAAAAATAATTAAATTTTAGCCAAATGAAAAGGGATTATTGCATTTTATTTTTATATAAGTAAAAATAGTACAGCACAAAGTTCGAAATCCTGATGTTTAATATCTGGACTGACAGACCTTCAGCAAAACAATTTTGGTTCTTCTGATTCCCCCTCTGAAAAGTATTCAGGAAGCAACATGTTCAAACCAAGACATCGCCAAAATATATTTATGTGGCAAACCAGGCAAAAATGTGACAAAAAAATATATTTATATGCATACACAATAGGTCAGCACTAATTTACATCCTTACATTTGGAGGTAACTTTTTCTAGTGTTCATTGCGCTGAGTAAATTTTTTTTCATGCACGGTATCAAAATTGGACTGTGCAGTTTGCCAGCTGATGAAAAAAAAAACAGTTAAGCTTCTTCAGAAGTATGGCATTTTAACTAAGAGTAAAGAGTGAAAAGTTTACATTCTATGAAACTGTCCTTCTTATATGATTGGATTTTAAAGGCATGCAATGTAAAAAATTGCAAGCAAAGAGACAGAATGTAGGATGCCGAATTTGTGCAGTTGTATGTTTTTTAAGCAAACACAAATTGCTTTGTTCATGGGAAAAACAACAGCACAGACAATTCTTTGATATTTTTTTAAGCAAAAACATATTGCTGTATACATGGGGACAGGACAAAAGAAAATTACATGAGGAGTTGTTGAAAAAGTTGTTTTTTATTAAAGTTTTATTATTCATTGTTCACACACAAAATTTTTAGTATGCCACTAGTTTCAGAAGGGCTCTTGCCTTTTATATAGTAGCTTGGTGTACAATTAACTGCTAATGAGTTGGCAACTTGGCTGACTTCACTTCTTACACTGTACTTTAGTTGCACTATGCTGGAGACAGCAGAATCAATTTTTTTTTCAGAATTTTTTTTCTTATACAGAATATAATATTCAAGCAAAAGCAAATGCGCTGCAAAAATAATTTTTCTCCAAACTAATGGAAATTTTTTCACTCACTTTCAAACACTTGCTATGTAGGTAATCACATCATGTCCAATGACAATACATTAATTGATGATAACCACAACCACATTTGCAACCCTTGACTGGTTGTGTAGGGAGGATTTTAGCATTTTTCTATCGAACATAAACAATGAGAGAAATGTTGTGAGCAAGATGCTGTTTATGCATGCTTTCTTTTGTTAGCATTATAGTTAGGTATGGAGAAAGTATTAGACTCTGAGAAACTTCAGTTAACATAACAAACTGCACTCTTGTTTAATTTTCTAATTTGATCCACCTTATTACCTTTTTAAAGCTATTACTATTACAGGTATTTTACCAAAACTACAGCTGAATTTTCAATTATGTCAAAAAGAGTTCCTAATTCTGGGGCTGCAAAGCAAAAGCATGTTTTGGTGTCAATCATGCAAAAAGTAGAATTACCGTAAAAAAAATGAATAAAGGCATATCCTTTTCAAAATTATGCAAGGAGTATGGCAAGTCTCTTCCAATCCATTATAAGACTTAAAATATTTTTGTGGATTTTGACCTTAACTTGCAATGAATAACAAAAAAATCATTCATTATGCTTGTCCCAGCCTTGCAAGAGACAATACTGTTCATGGCATCAGTCACGATTTTCTTAAACTGCAGAGTTTGGAAACTTCGGAACCTGGCAACAGAATATTTATATATTTTTATATTTCAAACCATTGTATGTTGAATAATAAAATTAAATGTGTACATAAATGCAACAATTCGGTGCCAAAACTTGATAGATGCAAGAATTTGAATACTATTTATATTCCTGTTATCTTAATTTAGAGGCAAGCTTTTTTTTTTTTTTTTTCCTTTACATTGGTTATAATTTTGTGTCCTTACATGCATGTTTGAAATGTCATTCCAAATGAACAGGTAAGTTCCATTTGGATGACATAACACTTTTTAAATGAAAATGACACTGTAAGAGCAAATATTACTCGCTTATTGGGAAGTTGACAGACACTAATAATGATAATTCAAAAGATGTGAACAATGATGATTTAGAATACTTTTGTGACAGACTTTGGGTTTGTTGATTGATTTCGAACTGTTTAGCAAACACATTAGATAACAGTATTCATAATTTATGTTTTGACGCTGAATATAAATCCAATATTTTACAATGTAAAGAATATAAAGACAGCATCAAATTTGACATTTTTAAAGCACATACAGCTTCAAGAAAGACAGAATTCCAATTTCTGTGTATGACTACATTTAATCCTGTCACAGATGTTATTTAATTCGGTGGTTACATAAAACTAATCCATGTGACAGCCTGGGATTTCTGCTTCATTCACAACTGTAAATGAGCAACATCCATCTTTTGATCTTTCTACAGCTGAACTAAGAAAAGTTAAAGATTATTGAATATATTCCATGCAGAAAGAATGTTTCACAACTGAAACAAAAGCTTTGGATCTGGAGTTCGTTTCGGACCTGACAACTGATAAGCTCATGATGGCATTTTAGAGGTTTATTGGTCAATGAGGAATCCCTTACACCATTTATACTGACACCACCACAAACAAAGAATTGGCCTTGCATTGGAAGACCATAATGGCTAATACGGTCCAAATTTTTATGCTATAAACACCACTGACTGAAAATTTATTGTGCAATAGGTGGCTTTGTGGAAGTGTTTAATAGGATTTACAAAATGCTGTTTTAGAAAATCACTTGGTTATTCATTTCTGAATGAGGAAGCACTTTCTACTGAATTCGTAGGGCTAGAGGCCACCCTGAAGAACAGACCATTAGTGTATGAGTGAAGAAGTGTTGATTCTGAAGAAACTCTGACTGTAGGTTATTTTCTCTCTGGTCAGAAACTGAAAATAATGAAATCAAAACCTGAATTTGAAAATGCGAAACTGACAAAAAATTATAATATGCAGCAAGATTTATTGGAGACAATTTGGAAGAGATGATCTAAGGAACAACTTTTGGAACTACATAGTTATTATCAAATATGCAATATCCACAAATTAGTCCCAATTAAGGAAATAGATTCTGTGCTTCTACAGTTGTATGTAAAGCCTCGGCATATGGCATATGTGGAAAAGAGCCATCGTTGAAAAGGAGATCAAAGATCATGACAGAAAATGCAGATCATGCATATTGCATGTTGATTGCACGGAAGTGACTTGATCAGTGTAGCTGATTATATCCCTTGAAAATGGCCAGGGTGGGAAGGATGTTCCAGCCTCTCAATAGACAGTTTTGCTGTGATGTCAGTCATGATTTTCCTTAAGATTACATTCAACTTTGTAATATGGTTTAAGCAATGTTTAAGCAAGAATAATATTTTATATTTTGAATTATTATATGTTGAATAACAAAGTAAAATGTGTATACAAATGCAACGATGCTAAAGAGACAATCAGGATAAATCATGATTAAAGGGGTGATTAACACTACAACAAGAGCGTGCCACTGATGGGTCCAATCCAATGCTAAAGACTGAAGTCCATGAGAAAATGGACTTGAAAATGGAGTGCACATACTCAGTGGGTTTGTTAACCAAATTAAAAAATTTGATGTGTACACCATATGACTTCCTTGTACGGAATATTAAATTATACGCATTTTTTCTTGCATTTCGTTTAAACTTATTGGATTGAATTAAATCTACTTCGCTGACAGCACATAAACCATAATAGAATAAATGCATTCTTTAAAATTCACTCTATTTGTTTACCATAGTGACACTCTGGCGCTAGGTTCACTTAACATTACAGTCAAAAGTCGTTAATTCGGACACCCATAATCCGGACCTCAAAGCTAAAAACTTTCTGCGCATGCGCCGCGTTGACACATTCGCATAGGCGTTTACGCGTGCGCGTAAGACCTTTACGACTGCGCATATGCATTTGCGCAAGCGCAGAATACGTTTTCGCGTGCACGTTTTATGTATAACGGACGGTATAAGCTAAAATTATCTATTTCAGTTAATGTTGATGATTGCGTTGTTCGACGACTACAAAACGAAAGTATGTTTCGATTTCCATCAAACAAAAAGTGGAATTGCTGCAAAAAATGGATAAAGACATGAAGAAGATGACGGCGAGGTTAGTGAAAACGAAAAAATTTCGATGACAAGTTAGGCGGTATTCTCGACACAGCAATTATAGGACTTGAACAGCAGAAGTTTGTAACAACAAGAAATTATGTCTTGTTTATAGAATAGAGAAATATTCTATAAACAAGACATAATTTATAGAATTATATTTTATAGAATTCTAGAGAAAGTATTATCACATAAAATGAAGCAACTTAAACAACTTACATTGAAAGAAATGTTTAATAAAGTAAACAAATAAATATTAAGCTTTTTTTTTTTGTAAATTTTGATACCCTTTAGATCATAATTGTTCTTTATTTTATAAATTACGGTTTCATAATTTTAATTTTAGAATTTCTGCATGCCATCTTACGAGATTTAAACTGATGATCTATAATCCGGAATCGCCGAAGTCCCGACGAGTCCGGATTAACGACTTTTGACTGTATTATATTTCGTTCATATTATAACTCAGAATGCACAAAATTTATATCATTTAAAGAATTATCTAACCGTTGCCACATGTTCTATTCAAATGCTATAATAAAGCTAGAACGATGTATAAAAGAAATTAAGCAAACATAACAAAAAAACA